ATTCCTGGTTGTCAACTTGACTATATCTGGAATGAACTACAATCCAGAATCAGAGGGCTTACCTGAGATCCAGACCTTAAGGCTGGAAGACACAAATTTCTGACCTGGATCGTAGCATGTAAATCTTGAGGCATAGTGGCCATGAAAAGCTTAGGCCCCAGCAAGGTAACACAGGCCTTTAATCCCAGGAGACTGAGGCAAGGAGATCTCTGAGTTAAGGTCAGCCTGGGACAAAGCAAATCCCAGATCCAGGCGTGGTAGTACACACTTTTAATCTGGGTCACATCTTCTGCTGGAGACTTACATAAGGACATTGGAAGAAGGAAGATTCGTTCTTCTTCACCTGCTTGCATTTACTTGCCAGCACTTGTATTGGAACCTACTTCTACAGAAGGCCAGCTTAAACAAATAGCCTCATGGGACTGAACAATTGCTAGCTTCTTGGGCTTCCCATTCACAGCTGACCATTGTTGGGTTAGTTGGACTGTAGACTGTAAGTCATCATAATAAATTCCCTCAATATAGAGAGACAGTCCGTAAGTTCTGTGACTCTAGAGAACCCTAAGACACCTAGGAATTTGTGCAAAGAGATAACTGATACAGAGCCTCACTCACTGACCACAGTCATCTTAAAAATCCTTAGCACTTTAGAAGTATCCAGTTATGAAACATCCATTCAGAGCACTCTTGGTCCCGTCTGTTAAATCCCTCATGGATTCAAGAGCTACCAGATTGCTCACTGCTCGGCAAGACGACACAACATGAAAGTCTATAAACTCCCAAAGTTGAGAGAGAGTGAAGAGAAACCAGGGGGCCACAGCTGTGTGCTTCTGGAACTCAGTTTCTGGGTTTTTATAGTATTAGCCACGCAGTTCCACAGCAATGGGAGTAAATAGTGAAGTTAAAGAGAGTATTAGGTCAAAGAGCAAAGACAGGAAACCCGAGGAAGGTAAATAATGGGGCTTGCAACTAAGTATGAGGTAGCCACACTGACCAGATAAGAGAAAGAAAAGGGCTGTAGACAAAACAACAAAGCCATCCTTGGCAGGCTCTGGCTGGCCCTTACTAAGCCCCCATGAGGAACATACACAGCAGTAAGTCTTTACAGAGTGAATTATCCAATCCATCTCTAAGGGTGATTTCTAAAAAGCTTCCACCTGGTCCAGGAAGGAGACTCCCTCCAGATCACCCTGTGGACACGGCACTAAATACAAGGTACCTAAGGAAAACTCCAGGTTTATTGGTAACTCCCATAGGAGTTAGTTGCTAGTTCCTAGTGTCCAGAAAAGGCCATAGTAAACTACCAGCTGGTCATGCAAAAGTGAGAATGAAGAAATCATGGTTCAAATAACATCTATAATACCTAATCAAGGTTCAGAGCCAGCAGGCCCTGCCAAGATCAATGGCTAGCAAACCTAGCCAAGGTCAAGAAAAAATGAAGGGTGAACATGATTTAGGATTAGTCCTTGTTTGGGCAACCAGCATATGATCATCAAAATACGTAGGCCTGCTATTGGCTCTACCTATGATACACCTACAGAATTAACCAGCAATCACATCAATCTTTGTCCAGTTTCTGACATGAGTCCTATTAAGAAAAAATACTCTCAGACAAAGAGCTTGATGACAACGCCCTCAGGAGCCTTCCCAATAAGGAAGCTTCAGTCTCTCCTGTCTTATTCTTAATAAACCAGCCCCTGCTTGTTCATGGCTCTGTTTTCATTGCTTCTCGTTGTCTTTGTTTCTCATCTACATAAAGTAACAAACTTGAGAGGCCCAGTTGCTCTCAAAGGTCTGTGTAGTTCCAACCAGTAGTGGGTGTCCTAGGCTCAGAGGTGTGGCATACCTTCCCGGAGATCTAAGCTAGTCAATGCTTCTCCACTGCAGAGACCTAGAGTCTCTAGTTACTTCACTTCTCTGGGCCTCCACTTCTTCCATGATAAACTAGGACAGTTGGGACAGTGTGTGAGGAGTGTCCTCGTCTTTCTCCTGTATGCACACCGTCATGAGTATGAACACAGCAGGAGACATCACGGTGCTACTCTTATCTGTGGCCTCGTGTTCTGAGGTTTTAGCTGCTCACAGTTAACAGAGGCATCATCTCGCCTAACAAGTACAATCAGGATTGATGAGAACAGAGAGTTCACAACCGCATACATTTATGACAGTATACATTACCAGAAATGTTCGATTTTGTTCTCATTATTGTGAATGTGAATGAACCTGTTTCTAGAGTATGCATTAGATACATACATTTAGGGAAAAAATGTGTCATATACTGAATTCAGCACTATCCATGGTTTGAGGCACCCACCAGGAGGTCTTGGACCAACTCCATGACTGATAATGGGGTATTCTGTACCTCAGTAGACTTGAAACTCATTTATAACACACTAGTTAGGGAATCTCTAATGAATGATCAAACATATCTAAGATTCATTTCTATTTAATCTTTAGGAAAAATCCAAATGACTCACTCTCTGATCATGGGCGTACCACTGAGACTCCTGTAAAAAATAAAAGTGTTTCATTACGTGTTATAAATACAAAAGTAAAAGAGAGTTTGGGGTGCGGATCTTACGGGCATGAATGAATGTCTCAATGAAAGGCAGTAAGAAACCCTCCTGAAAGTATAGTCAAGATGGTATGCACATGTAGGTTGCAAAAAAAAAAAATTATCAGAGTGGAGTCACTGTTGAAGAGAGTAGGGCTCACAGCTATAGCTTGAGCCTTGTCCAGCCTTAAAATATGAGTTTATATTTTCACAAATCCCACACCAAAGCAATCACCTACAAACAGAATGTGTTCAATTCCAGAACATGTGCCCAGCATTCAAACACAGGAGGTGGCCAATTCCTTTGAGCAAAGGAGCTTTCGTGTTCTACTGAAATATGCTTTATTAAAAATGTCACGACTGATATAACACACTCACATCTTAGAATTTGTAATACAACTCCAATAATTTTTAAACAAAAGGAAAATTAAGACATATTGTCAAGAGGAAAGCTTTCTGACCGAAAAAGAAAATTCAGTTTAAAAAAAAAAATCAGCACAATTGGCCTCACAGAAGTAAGGGATTTCTGGAAAATATTTACTTCAAATGAGTTAACTTCCTGCTGACAGCCTTAGCTAATGTCCCCATAAGTGTAGCCAGAACTAGGAAAATGAGTGTATCACCTCTAGAAAACACATTTTCTAAAATTAGTGGTCACAGGTGTCTCAAGGAGCCTCATAGAGAAGACACAGGTGACATTTCCCTGCTCCTGGCTTAGCCTCCTGAATCTTTCAGAGGGAAATGACCAGGGAAGTAAGAGTCCAAATCTAAATGGGGAGAGATGCCCCCACGTCCTCACCAAAGGACCCAATGTTGATCACTCAGCTAAAAATGTTACCACTGAGCAGAGTGGAACCACCCGGTGTTTCCGGGACCCACTAGGCAGACACTGTATCCTAGGCTCCAAAGAAGAAAGGCCAAGTCCCGTTACTCAGCCCTGCCCCTAGGTTTCTTCAGTACTGCTGTCAATTTTCAGGAATCAACCAAAAGCAAAAACCCACGCAGGGCGAGGAAGACAGAAGAAGGAACCAGTTAGTGATGTCATTGGAAGCAATAAACATCTTACTGTACCTGAACTCCCAAATCCTCTGTAAGGAGTTACAATTCCCATGGTGCAAAGAGAAACTGAAACGCTAAACATGCAAGCTTGTGATCGAAGGGACCCTTCATGAGTTAGTTCATCATGCTGCAGGCGTGCACAGTCTTGTGCTCTTTCTTCTCAGTGTGCTCGTGAGGAGAGGGGGAAAATTGAAGAGGAAGAAAAAGAAGAGAAAGATAATAATAAATCAAAAGGTCTATCTATGGATCAACCTTGAGGGCACTTGAGGAATCCGTAGTGTATTAAAGAAGCCAGTCGTAAAATGAGAAATGGTACATGTTGTCTCTTATTTGAAGTTTTTAGAATAGTCAGATTCACAGGGGCTGGGAAGGAGGGAAATGGAGACCATGGGTCCTGGAGACATCTAAGTGGCTTCTAGGGGAATTGTGCTAGTACCATGGTTTAGGGGATGTGGAAGTCAACCCTGTGAAGGAAAAAGTGGGATGGAGAGCGAGGTGCCACAGGTTCCCGCCACTTGTCGAAGAGTCCTAATCTGCTGCCCACGGCACTAGATCTAAGACTGCTCGGAGCATCTGTGAAATAGCAAAAAGGAACGGAGGTGAGGCGGCGGCAGCTTCTTCCATCTTCATGAAAGTCCTAACAGGTGATGGTGCTCCCCACCCTCACTCCTTCCGAATTACCACATCAGGCAGGGTTTTCATTGGAGCGCAGTGACGGTGTGGCGAGATACGATTGGCGGAGGATCTAGGGGCTTGGGATTGGCTCGAAGGCTGTATATAAGCTTAAGAGTTGAGCAATAAACTCAGATCTGCACCCTGAGGCTGGTCTCCGGAGTCTGATTTCCCAGGATTCATCACGTGACTCTGTCAACTCTTACACACACACACACACCCCTCGGTCCTATTCCCACAATGATTAGTTACCTAAATGCAGTAGGAGAATGAGGGAGATTCAAAGGCTGTCTACACTGCCTGAGGGCCAGAGCCTGGTAGACAGTGGACAAACACAGACATTGTACTACTTACTGTCCTTGCTTGTCTTCCCCAAGGCTACCCACGTGGTATCCTCAGACTGCCAAGCCTCCTATCTCAAACCAGGACCAAGCATCCTAGCCACCTGGTGTGTCATCCTCAGTATCCCGCTGACATGGAGGCCCAATGTTAGAGCCACCCATGCTCAGGTGACTGTATGGGTGTTCAGGAGCCATGAAGCAAACAGGAGTAATAAGGGTCAGCTATGATTTAAAGCATCCAACAAACAAACAAAACAAACAAACAAAAAAACTACAAGGGCAAGAGCAAGGTCGCTCACAAACACAAAAGAGCAAACTACACAGGCTGACAATCCAATGAGGATGGAGTGTGAGCCACCACACCCTAACCATTCTCAGGGAGTTATGAGCCCTGTGGCAGCATTGCACTTGCCTGCCATGGGATTGCAGGGCGTGTGTCCCAGTAGCTGGACTGGGGAAGATGCCGGATACCTCCTGGGTGGCATGTGATATCTCACTGTCTTCCAGAACTTGGTCTTAGCACACTGTGACTGCTCTGTGAAGTCCCCGTCCCACTGGATGGCCCCGTGCTTCTGTCGGATGTACTGAATGGACTCGGGCATGGAGCTGTAGTCCTTGACTTTCTCCAGTTCAATCAGAATGACCTTCATGCCATGCTGGATGAGGGCATTGTAGACAGCGATTTGTTCTTCTGACAAGTTCTTTAGAAAGCCGAAGCTGGATGACTCTGGTGCCACGAGGATCATCAGCCTCCTACACAGCTTAATGTTTTCATCAATGACGCTGGCCACAGCTGGAATGGAAAAGAAGGATTCTGAAGACCCAGCATGAGAACACCAGGGCAGTAAATGCTACCAGAAATGGGAGAGATGGACACCAGGTAAAGGAAACGGACTTTCCAATAGACAGGACTGGTGCTCAGAGGGATGAGCATTGGCTCCCACTGTTCTGTGCAGGGTTTGTGCTCTGGTCCCCTGTGGTCATCAGTGTTAGCTTTTTGTCTAAGCTCCCCCACACAGAGTCACCTGGCTACATCCAGGTGTGACTGACTCATTATAAAAGGAGCTGCTTGCCCCCCTCTGTTCTCTCTTGCTGTCTTGCTCTCTCTTTCACTGTCCTCTTGTCCCTTCCTCATCTCTCCTCATTCCCCTCCCCCCTCTCCAGGTGCTCATGGCTGGCCTCTACTCCTCTGAGCTTGCTCTCTCTCTCTCTCTCTCTCTCTCTCTCCCCCCCTCTCTCTCTGCCTTTCTCTGTCTCTACTACCCTCCCAGCTCCCCTTCCCATGCCCTGAATAAACTCTATTCTCTATTCTATGCTATATATAGCATCATGTGGCTGGTCCCTCAGTATCACCCCCTTCCCTCACACCTGACTACACATTCACCAACCATATTCCTTCTTTCCCTTATCTTTTTATAAAACACAACAATCAGTCACCTCTTGTTTGTTTCATTGGCGGTTACCCTGTGTTCTGTTATTTATCGTTGTCTCTTTCCCAGAGCCTCTCTCATTACACTATATTCCTAGGGCAGTTGAGTCTCCGATAAGCTACAGAATAAGCATATTTTAAAATCTATTTTTAAAGAACAAAGAACCTCTCTTCTTGTTCTTAATAGTTAAATGCTCAAGGTTAGCATCTGTATTTTGAAGCCAAATAGCACACCGTAATGGTTTCATGGGAAGAGAAAGGAAGGGCCTATCAGTATTGACTTTACATGTTCTAGCTGACTATCATTGCCTCCAGTGAGGGGTAAGAGGAGGGGGTGCCATTTCTAAGGACAGTTTCTTTTCAGTTGGTTTATTTATTTATTTATTTATTTATTGTATTTCTACTATATAAACTGCCTAGTATTTGGAGATAGCCAATACATATCCTTTAAACAGTATTAAAAATTGCTTTTTCTAGTGAGAAGAAAGGGGTGCTTATTTTAGTATCCAATTACTTTGCTGTGGGCCTTCCAAGATGAGAGCAAAGAGCAGGAGGAGGGGGTTTGTGTAAGACAGCCCTGCGATAGCATTTACAGGTCTCCTAAGCCAGGAAAACATCCATTCCTGTCTCACCCATGCAAATGCTGCTGTTCATGAATAACCCTAAACCACATGCCTAGTAAACAGAAGTAAAACAACTATCCAGCTTATTTAGACAGAGGACCCATAGTTTGAATATGAAATGTCTCCTGTGGGCTCTGTGAATACTGGTCCCCAGCTGGTGGTGCTGTTCGGGGATAATGGAAACTTCAGGATATAGACCCTGAATAGAGGAAGTAAGTCACTGGGGGTGGAGAGGAGAGGAAGAGGGGAGAGGAGAGGAGGGGAGAGGTTTTCGGGTTTTGTTGTTGTCCTCTGTTTGTATCTCAATAGGGTCTGTACGTACAACCCTAACTTGTCCTGTATCCATCCTGGTTCAGCATCCCCAGTGCTGGGATTACAGGCCCGGCCCTCTTTTTTTTGTTTTCTGGTTAGCTTTTCCATGTGTTATAAAAAGGTTCAGTTAAAACATACCTTGTCCAGGGAATTCATCCCTGCCAAATATAAATAACTTATATCCACACTGTTTCTCCAGCACCTCGGGCAAGATTTTCAATACCAGTGTGTCCACATCATGGCCCTGCCTTTCTCTCTGGTACTTGGGGTATAAGACATAGGCATCATATAGCTTCTCGTCTGAAAAGGAAAAGAGACAAGCTCAAGAAATGACTCTACCAGATCCCTCCAGTAGATACTGTGAACCCTGGGTCACTGCTGTAATACACTGCAGCCTGGGTCCAATGATCTCCACGTGCCCTGCTGGCTGACAGGGCATTCTATGCTATCATACTACATTCTCATGGCTGAATTGTGAGAGATGTGACTCATCTTCACTCAGCACAGGGGAATAAAATTTAGACAGAACAGGTGGTACCGTTTCTGCAATTCCTATTGCATCTTAAGTTTCCCACCACCTCTCACTAATTGCAGATGTGGGCAATTGAGTCCTGCACTAACTACACCAAGCAAAACCAATTGAGTCAGTCCAAATCTGGCATACCAGAAAATTCATCATTTTAATGACTCCTAATCTGTCCTGTATCATTGAGAAATCCAGCACATGTGGTCAATGTGTCCATCAATGACAAGTGTTTCCCAGACAACCAGGAATGAGAGCCATTACTGTGTGTACCAGGGCAAAGATGAATAAGACACACCATCATACTGTGCACACCACTCACATACATGCAATAAAATGATAGGTAGCATTAAGATGACAACAACCAAAGGAACACAAAAAGATTTCTCATCATCTGGAGTATTTGATAAACAGTATTCATAGAGAGTGTGTAACAGCTCCTGGGTGAGAAACAGTGAGGAGAGATCAGGAAAAAAAAAGGTGAGGATCTAAGAGTAGAGGTTACTGCCCATGTGAGAGAGAAGCCAGCACACATGTGAGAGAGAAGCCAGAATACATGTGAGAGAGAAGCCAGAAGCCAGAACACATGTGCAAGAGAATCTAGAAGCCAGAATACATGTGAGAGAGAAGCCAGAAGCCAGAACGCATGTGCGAGAGAATCTAGAAGCCAGACTACATGTGAGAGAGAAGCCAGCATACATGTGAGAGAGAAGTCAGAATACATGTAAGAGAGAAGCCAGAAGCCAGAATGCATGTGAGAGAGAATCCAGAAGCCAGACTATATGTGAGAGAAAAGCCAGCATACATGTGAGAGAGAAGCCAGACTACATGTGAGAGAGAAGCCAGAATACATGTAAGAGAGAAGCCAGAAGCCAGAATGCATGTGAGAAAGAATCCAGAAGCCAGACTATATGTGAGAGAAAAGCCAGCATACACGTGAGAGAGAAGCCAGACTACTTGTGAGAGAGAAGCTGGCATACATGTGAGAGAGAAGCCAGACTACTTGTGAGAGAGAAGCTGGCATACATGTGAGAGAGAAGCTGGCATACATGTGAGAGAGAAGCCAGCATACATGTGAGAGAGAAGCCAGACTACTTGTGAGAGAGAAGCTGGCATACATGTGAGAGAGAAGCCAGCATACATGTGAGAGAGAAGCCAGACTACTTGTGAGAGAGAAGCTGGCATACATGTGAGAGAGAAGCTGGCATACATGTGAGAGAGAAGCTGGCATACATGTGAGAGAGAAGCCAGCATACATGTGAGAGAGAAGCCAGCACCGATGTTCCTGCCTCCCCGCCCACTGTCAGGCAAGGAAGGTGCTGTGGAGCTAAGTTTGACCTGGGGATAACTCCATCAGTACTGACCACAAATCTTAACAGAGCTTGACAATAAGATCCATGGTATGGGAGGAGGAGGGACTGTGTCCCAAGCATTCAGCTTAGGGCTCATAGGTATGTACTAACGGGGAAGCAATTTGTATTTGGAAACAACTAAACCCAATGACTTTTTCGGTATAAAGTTTAATGTTAAATAGATGCTTTCCAAAGTTCAAAAAATTTTTGTTGTTGCTGTTTTTTTAGTTGTTGTTGCTGCTGATTTTTTTGAGAGTAAAAGAAAAAAATCAAGAGACAGAGAGGTGGAGATCTCATAAGCTCTTATTTCTTGACTGTTTAAGAAGGAATTGAGCCTTGCCATGTAAAGATTGTGACGTGTTTAAACTTACACCCTCAGAAAGCCTTGGCTGCTTGGCGCCACATTTACAGCAGGGAGCATCCTTCTTGGGAAGTACAGTTCCTAAGATAGCACCCAATGCTATCCCTCCCCAGCCCCAAGCACAGCTGCCGCCACTGGCATCTCTCCTCTCCTAGTTTCTCAGTCTCCTTTCCATAGAAAACAAAAGAAACTACATTTGCCAAATGTTTTCCTTTTTGACAGAATCCCAGTCCTCTTTCAAAACAAGGCAGCTGAGGAGGCATGTTCCCCTTGCTCTCCAACTTTCAATATGGACGGAGAGAGATCTTATAGCACAAAGTCCCACGCGTTCTGAAAACTCAAAACAAAACAAGCCCCCAAAGTGTATGTCCTTTATTTTCAGTTTGTTTTCTTTTTGTGCTGGAGGCCAAAACCCAGGCTGATGAGTATGCTTGGCCACTGGGCTAGCTGAGCCACCAACCCTCAGACTAAGATCTGGAGCAAAGATATCATTTAAGGACTTGATCTCCACATGCACTGGGAAGTCATAATTATCAAAGACACATTTGTAATCTACATTTGCCTTTTTTGATACAGCCCTCCAATTTTAAAAAATTATTAGTATTTTATTTCATATGTGTGGAGGTTTCCCCCAAGGAAGGCAGAATAGGGCATCAGACCCCAGGAAAATATAGACAACTATCCCCTGCAGTGGGGGTTCTGGGAATCAAACCAGGGTCCTTTGGAAATGCAGTCACTGCTGTTAATCCCAAGTCCTCTGATATTTGAAGGACTGGCTCAGACAATAGCACAGGCACTTTCTGATAAACTGTGAGATGTACACATGAATCTAAGATTCTTGGAAGTTGAGATCAACAGGGCTGCACTATTTCTCAAAGGTGTACAGAATTTTCTAAACCGAAGTTGCTCATTTCTCCTGGTGTGGTCAAACTTGATTTTGAATCAAAAAACAAAACCAGGACAGACTTTCTTCATGCCTCTACCTATGAGCTCCAAGAATGCTTGTGGTTAATCATGTCTTTTCAGAAACATTCCAGATCCCCACAAAACCCTGCTGTGTAAGTCCATTCCTATAGAGTTGAATCGTTTTCTGATGTCCTGTATAATGGAACAGACACACACACACACACACACACACACTCATAATGAAAGGCTGCTGTACACTGTGAAGTTCTGAGGTAACTCATTTCCCAACCGTTGTTAAAGGAATAGTAGCAAAGGAAACAGCAACCAGCAGCACAGATGATGAATTGGTTGACTCCCAGAATTTCTAGAATTTCTAGTGGCTGTTCTGAGGAAACTCAGATGTGCTGATTGCTGCTCCCAATATCCACGTCTCTCAAAAGCGGGAGTGGCAATTTATTTCCGGCCTGGCCAAGATTTTTTTAATTTTCTGAGGCTATCTAACCATCCCTTCAACTAAAAGCATCGGTTCCCGCCTCTATTGCTGTCTGTAAAGCCCAAACTTGATCACGTTTATTGCCTGATATTTGTGAGAAACTGCCTAATGCTTCTTCAGTTCCCTTCTCTCTTGATGTTGACATTTCAGAGCAAATCAAGCAGTTGATAGATGAAACTTGAATTTAAAAAGTACTTTCTGTAAAGTCCTTTGCCAAGTTGCCTAAGGACTGACGTGTCTGTCTGAAGACTGGTGTGTCTGTCCACCCTAGCATGCATAGAAAGCATTGAAGGGAACACACGTAACACACAGGATAACGTTTACTCTGGAAGTGCTAAAGGCCACCAGATTCCTTACATTACAGCACTACCATAAACGGGGACTCTCCACAGGAAACTGTCTGTGGAAATGAGCCCCAGAATGATCTATGTTATTTCACAAACCACAGAAACATATGTGGGGAAAGCCAGAATTGACTGACTTGGCTTTAGTTGCGAAAGCAAATTTACCTTTAGAGACCAAGACCTCTTACCAACTCAGAGCTTTGCTTAGTTTGTTCTCTTACCCTTTGTGGCCTGGCACACCTGCTGGGTTAGTTCTAACCGGTGTAGTCCACGTGCACACTGCACATAAGTCTGGATGGAATATAGACAGCAGTGCATGTGGTTCTCAACCAACCTGTTGCTGACCATTCTTTCAAGTCCTGCAGATACTGGGGCACACCTAACAGGCCAGTTCTGACATCACCTGGGGGCAGGCATAGAAATTTGAAACTCCGCAACTTCAACCAGGCTTGTGAATGGCTGTCATATTGTAACTCATGGGTCAATTATCTTTACCTATGTGTGGCAAAGCTTGACCAACCAGGTTAGAGTGAACTTCGCCAAGAAGGACATCATCTCTCTCTTCTACATCCATAGTCACTATACTGTATATGTTCTAGAATAGTCTTTCAAGAGAGTTCAGGCTCTCAGCAGGATTCATGATCAACCTCAGAAGCTTATCACTAGCTAATTTTAGAGACATTATTCAAAGTTCTCAGCACAGGGACGTTTGAGTAGAAAGGTGGGAAAATTGAAGCACATACTTTCCAGAATTAAAAAATAACAGTGAAGACAATCATCAGGCTCCCTGACTGGTTGTCAGCTCCAATCTCCAAAGCCAGCACCCCTGGCTGTGCTGATCTGGGGGGAGAGGGTCCTGATGTGTCATCTGTTGGGTTCCCCTGTTCTGCAGGGGTGAGTCATTCCTCCTTCCGTCTCTTGCTGACAAACTCAATCTCTCTGCCTGGCAGCTTTATCGTACTATGTGCACACCGTAACTAAGGCAAGGCAGTAGTCACACTTCTGGGAGTTACAGTGAGTCAGAGGCGCGCGCGAACGCCAAGGGGCCAGAGGGGCCGGAGCTTCCAGAAACACCACATGAGAGAATGTCACGCTCTCTGACTCAATGGAAAAAGAAGGCAGGCCACTCCTATCTACTCCAGAACAAATGAGTAGTGTCATCTCCTCACACAGGGACAAACAGGGAGACAGGCAAGCATCTTAGATTATATTGGCCTGATCAGGTGAGGGCCATGGCTACACTTCACCACTGTTAAGTCTCAAACCCCAGAATAAAGAGCTGAGGTGTCTATTTAACATATCAAAGCAGATGCTGGCCCCCAGGTTCTCCCTGCATCCTTCAGACCCTACCTGTTACAGGATTCTCCCGACTAGACTGGCATACCCTGCCCCCTCCTGAACTCTCCAAGAGGATAAACTGACATTCCTCCAGCTGCCGTACATATTCCAACCCTCTTGGTAACCTGGTCCCTTTGTTTACTCTTAGTCCAGGCTGCCTTCTTTGTCAGCAGCTGCTCTCCCTTCTCCTCACAAGGCTTCGGATTCCCCCTGGTGTCCCTGCCCCTCCTCCCACTAGCTCCCCTTTTATCTGTAATAAACTTTCTCCTCCACCACACCACGGAGCAGTCATGTTCTTTTCTTTTTATTTCTTTCTTTTCATTCAGCCATCGACACTGGGCTACACCCCAGCCTCTGGGTTACCAATTTTTGAATTCTGACATTTGGCTAAATACAGTTTGAATCACAGCATCTGTGTTTTATCAACAACATGTACACAGTAATCTGCGTGGTGACTTTTGTGCACAGACTGCTGCTAAAAATGTGTGGCTTTTTTCTTTTCTTTTCTTTGGATCTGCCGAATGTACTTAGACTCTGAGTTCCTCCCTTCTCTTGCTCCTGTTCAAGAAAAATATTTGGCCTAAAAAGATGTTCATTTACTCGTCCCAGTGCATGCCAGCTGTGAAGATTTCTTTTGTCTTTTTATTTGTTTTTATAGGCAAATAAGGCATATCAATGCAGATTGAATGTTCGTTTGTTTGTTTGTTTTCTTCTGTTTTCCCTAGGGCCTTACTAGATCACTTTCACTCTGAAACTTTTCTTTTTCTTTCTTTCTTTTTTCTTTTTTTTTTTTTTTTTAAATTACGTGTGTTACAACCTGAATGGAGAGAAATGCTGCTTCTGGAACACATGGAGACATTTCTGAGTCCAAAAAATAGTGACAGGAAAGAGAGACCAGTGAAGGCTCTTCAGAGCAGTGATGAAGGGCTTATGTCTCAGGCTCCTGCTGAACACTGAGAGAAGCAGGTTTCTTCCTTTGCCTTTGTCCCCCATGTGCCTCATTTCCTCCCTCTCTCCCTCCCTTCCTCTCCCTCTCTTCCCTCCTTCTGTAGCTGAGAGAAAGGAGAAAATACCTTTTTTTTTAAATCTCACCCAGCCACCCAGAAGAGAGCTCGTCGGAGTCAATCCAGGCAGGCCTCTTTTGGAAGCTAGAGGTGTAAATTACCTCAGGTACCAAGTGCAGGGTTTGTGGAAAGGAGAGCATAGCTGTACAATCCACAGAGCTTTAAGGGGAGGGGCTGTGCACATCAGCGTAGCCTGCTCCAGCAGACATCATTTTACTTCACAGACACAGAAGATAGGATCCTCTCTCATACTTGTGCATCAAGGAGGAGGATGCCCACTGCCTCCTAGTGCAGGTTGGCCCACCGCCTTCTAGAACAGGTTAGCCCACTGCCTCCTAGAGCAGGTTGGCCCACTGCCTCCTAAAGCAGGATGGCCCACTGCCTCCTAGTGTAGGTTGGCCCACTGCCTCCTAGTGTAGGTTGGCCCACTGCCTCTTAGTGCAGGTTGCCCACTGCCTCCTAGAGCAGGATGGCCCATGGCCACTGCCTAGTGGATATTTTCTAGGCACTGCCTGCATTCCAGCTTATTGGCAAAGGAGGCTGATAATCACAGACAAATCATTTCTCTGAAGCATGTGAAGTTCTGCTGAGACATTGTTCACTTAAATTCTCTAGCCAGGAGACAGGATTACCCTCATATAACATTACGAGAAGAACATTTAAAGAGGTTACTCTGGTGGGTAGACAGCAATTTTGAGACTTTCCTCCCAAAGACCACCACACACACTTACCGTCTGGAGCCTGGGCAGTATGGAAGGCACTTCTGTACCAAAGCACGATGTCAATCTTAAAGGTTTTGTAGATGTACAGAACAGACACCACCAGAAGTAGGAAAGCCATAATCCCTCCTATGAGGTAAGCCCGGAAGTCTGGAGCTACAAATGACATGGAAAAGTCAGTGACTAAAGGTTAGTTTTACCTCCTCACTTACAGAGCTCAAAGCCAAGTGGAAAACATGAGGGTACTGCTTGAACATGGTTCTAAGTTTCCTTGTACATATGGGAGTCCGCAGTTTTATTTGTCTGTGAAGGTTAGAAACAAAGGTCTCTTTGAAAGCCAGGAAGCCCTAGGTATTGATGCAGGAACAACAGGACTCTGGCTGCATGTCTGAGAGCATGTGGGTCCAGGTGCATTCATTGAGTACAATCTGACTGTCCCCCATGGGTTCCTCTGGAGAATCTGGATTTCAATCCCACCATACTGCTTCTCAAGACCCTCAGAGCTGAGCAGAAGTCACTCCTGGTAAAAATGGCAAAAGTCATTGGCCCTCTGCCCAGAAACTGGCTGTGCTGGCTCCGAGAGACAGTTGGCATCCAGTCCTTCCCAGGGCTCCTGAAGTCAGGGACAGTGTCTGTCTGAGAGTTCCTGACACTGTACTCAATGACTGCTCGGCTATGCAAGTGTGCTGCAGAGCAGTTCTGACGACAGGTAGGGGAGCAGACAGCTTGGGGAAGAATCAGTTACTCCAGAAGGGAAGTACTCCTTGCTTCCAGAACGGCTCCTGAAAACCAAGAAGAGGAACCAAGCAGCAACCTACCTTGCCACAACCCAAGAGGATGCTGCTGGAGGAGGGGTGCCCAGGAATGAGGGAAGAGAAAAAGGGAACCCACCTCATCAACCACTTCCTTCATCAGCCTATTCAGATTGTCTGCTCACCCTGGAAGGGGGGTGGGTTGTGGGTCCAGCAGGGTGGGGGAGAAATGTTTAAATCTCTCAGGACAAATGTTTTCAGTTTATAACATCTTTAAGAAGTAAGCTCTCAAATCCTTCCCAGGCCACACATACAACATCTGAGGGCCTAAGACTTCTGCATATTGTTGCATTTCTTTAGATATAACAGCATGATAAACTATGGAGACGGAAAACACACTTGGTACCACCCCCACCCCAAATCAATCTATTGAGCAAGTCCCTCTGCAGCCAGTGGACACTGATCTGTAGGCTGTTGCCTAATCTGGCCCTGCCCTCTCTTTACAACCTTTGTGATCTGCCTTCCAACTATGAGATGAGGTCTCCCCCATGTCTATCCTCCACTTAGTTTTTGCCAGTTCTTATCAGAGTTTTGTGAGCAACACTGTCTCTCTTTGGGAGGATCTAGTCTGGGAGAGTCTAAGTCCATGATAGCAATTTTAGAACTATAAACTACGGTATGACTATTTCATGACTAAGCCCACAGTGCGTAATGAGATTCAAAGAACCCTTGGCACCCGCAGTGTGGTCTGACTGTTCCTTGAACTGAGCAGTGTGGACATGTTTGGCTCTGTGAACATGCTCAAAGATAATGACAATGTAGTTGCCTTTTTAGTCAAGCAGCTCAGATGAGTAGAGACGTTGAAATGAAAATAAAAGAAAAGCTCACTACTGATATACCGTATACCCTTATTAAGAGTCGGATTTGTATGGACTCAAAAGATGGCTCAGAGTACTGGCTGCTCTTCCAAAGGACCTGGGTTCAAGTCATAACTTTCTGTAACTCCAGTTCCAAGAGATCTGATGCCCCCATGGGTGCTGATTTCCATGGGTGCTGAACACTCACACGGTGCATGTATGTATGTTCAGGCAAAACATGCATACAAATAAAATCATAAACGGAATGGGATTTGTCATCTGAGTTCATGGAACCACCATCAGGGGCCTTCAGACTTGAGAGTGGAAGATAGATATGATGATTAAAAGACACAGAATGGGGAGGGGGGAAACTTCCACAGAAAGAGACAGCCCGTCCAGACAACCTTCTAGTCATCCTGCTCCAGATGAGCCAAGTAGGAATCAAATCTGCAGATATCTTCAGAAACAAAAAATTGAGGAAGTCAAATGAAGAAGCCACCAACCAGTAAACCAAGAAGTTTAGACTTAAGAGGGTGAGGTTACTAAGCACTCAAGGCAAACAGAACAAGGTATATGTGACCAACCACCGAAAAGCCACAGTGTGGGGCTGTGGAGTGAACGCCTAGAGAAAACAAGATAAGTTTACCAAGAGTTTCCTAAGTAGGGTCCAAACAAAGGAACAAAGAGTCCCTCCTACTTCTCCATGACTGTCAGGCAGGTGTTAACTTGGTTTTTCTCCTCCTCCTCCTGCTCTTCCTCCTCCTCCTCCTTCTTCTTGACTGGATATGAAACTTATTACTGAGCATGATTTGGTAGGGTATAGGAGAGCATGGTGGAAGCCTTCAGGAATGCAAGGCTCTCCACTTGTCCAGAGGACCACAATTGAGGATATATTCAATACCACAGCCATCAGGAATGAGCCGCTTATCAAAAACCATGTCTTCAAATTCATCTGCATTAAACTTGGTGAAGTCCCACTTCTTTGAGATGTAGATCTCCTGGTGGCCAGGGAACTTGAGCTTGGCTCTACACAGAGCCTCAGTCACATGTTCCTTATCCTGCAGCTTGGTGTGGATGGACATGATGACCTAGCCAATGTGATCCCTGGCCACTGTGCCGTAGGGCTTCCCAATGGCACCACATAGACCTGTCTGGAGCCTGTCAGTCCCAGCATAGGACAACATCTTGTTGATCCAATGACATGAAAAGGGTGGAACCTCAGTAGGATATGAAAGCCATCCTTGCCACAACTTTTTACCATGTAAATGTTGGCACAAATACGGGCAGCCTCCAATGCTTCTGAAGAAAGTTGTTCCAATTCATCTGACACCATGTAGCCACAAAGTGAGAATTCATCAACTTTTGCTTCCTTCTGGCCCAAGTCAAAGATGTGGATCTTAGCATCAGGGACACCATAGCAGAAAAAAGACTTTGGTCATGGCTTGTTCTTACAATATCAGTAACACTGGGTTCTTCTGGTGTGTCTGAAGATAACAACAGTGTACTCATATACATTAAATAAATAAATAAATAAATAAATAAATAAATTGTTCTCTCTCCTTCTCTCTCTGAGTGCACATCTCCCACCTCTCTCTTCCTGTGATGACCTCCTTGGCCTCAGTCCATGGGGCAAATAAACCTGCCTACCTGAGAGCAGCTTCCCAATCAACCTGCCTATATGTAATTTTTTTTTAAATGCTCTTTTCCTCTGGTGCACTACTGACAGCCCTATTAAAGTGTCAACTTGTTAATTGGTAATGTTAGCCCCTCCGAGCCTGGACTTGGCCTCAAAATCCTTCCAAGCATAGTGCTTCCAAGAAGTTAGCCTGAACAGAGTCTGTCTTGGCCATCTTGGGGCTAGGTAAGGAGAGACCAGATCTTGAGTTCAGACTCCATCTTAGTGAACCTGACCTAAGGTTGAACTCTCTAGCACCAGTTTCTAAGTTATTCCCCAACAAACCTGTTTCTAGCAACCGTTTCCAGGTTATTCCTCAACAAACCTGTGCTTCCAGGTTACAAGTCCGCCCCTGGCACATCACTTCCTGACAACCACCAATGAGGAGGAAAGCAGAAGTTAAGTTTATGGTTTGGCTCCCCACACTAGCCAATTATTTTAAAGGGCACCAAAATTCCATAATAGCTCCCCAGTCACATGGGTGCCAGGCTTGAAACCCCCTCACTTAACTTGCCATTTCCTATAAAACCTTGTCCCTCTGAGAACTCAGGCTTTCACCCTCCCCACTCCCTCTCTGCGTTGTCAGAGACTGCAGTGTGGTCCAAGCTCAATCTTGAAATAAAGAGATCCTTGTGTGATTGCATTGGTGTCAACTCCTTGGTGGTCTCTGGGGGCTTGAGAACGAGGCACAACAGTAAGCGAATACGCAGTCAAACTTACACATTAAGTTAGATTGAAACTGAAGCCATGTTAGATAGCGTGGAACTCCCCATAAGCATGTCTTACAGTGAGCTTTTCTCTTTTCTTTGGGGTTGACCCTCCATCACTTTCTCTGACCTAATTAAATCAGGCCCTTTTTTGGTTCGAAGCCAAGAACCCAAATGTCTTCAGGTTCTTCTCTGTTCCTTGGCTGAGAAAACATATCCTCATTGGATTAAAGTCAGCTATTTCATCAAAATATGGCGCCTTTGGAAGGGGCTTCTTTGCTCTGGTCTGACTGTGCTCTGCAGGGCAGACAAAGGATATGGTTGAGAAGCTAGTGAGTGACGTTCTATAAGAAAGGCACAAAATGCCAAGCCAAGAGTATCTATTCTGCCTCAGGAGGAAATAAGTGTCCCTAATGTCCAGCCAGGGATGATGGGGTTTCCCCCATCCTCGGAGAAATAACTTGAACTGGACTATAGAAAGTTCTCCAGGCAAGAACATGATTTGGAAAACTGAAGCAATCATTCAAATAGCACACAATAATGGCTCAAACCATACTAGTACCAAGTACAGTAACCCAATATATTAGACCTCACTGGATGTCGTTGTTTGCTTTGTGGAATTATCTCACTTGATTCTCTTACCCACTGCTTTGAGGGGAGCAAGTATGAACCACATGGCAGGATAAGGCATCATATAGTAAAGCTGATGACTGACCGTGGTTCATTTAGCAATTCTACACTAAAAATAGCACATAAGGAATGCTTCCACATGGAGTACATGGGAACTTCCATAGTGTCATTACTTGTCCCAATCTGGAAACAATTCAAATAACCACATATTTTTCATGCAACTGGTGAAAGGCCACCTGGTTGTTGAGTAGAGTAAGATCCAGATGGAAAAACAACAACTTGCTCTGTTATCTATGCACCAACATATCGGAAGTACCGCAGACAAAAATCAAGTCATAGAAGAAATAATGCCATCTAATGCTCTTAGTGTAAAGCCCCTAAGCAGGCAAAAATAAACCATTTTTAGGGAAATCAACAAATATCACAAAGAGGAAAAAATGACTTTCTTGCAAGTGGGAGGTATACAGGTCAAAGAAATACTTCATTGAAGAAGGGCATGGAGTCCTTTCTAGCTCAGTGTTGGCAATATAACCATTATGTGCATTTTTGTGTGTATATTATATTTGACAATAAAAAAGAAAATTCCAATTTGTTCTCAAAATGTTTTCCCAACAATAGTGTAGAAGATACCACCATGAGTCTTAAATTACAAATAAGAGAACTCAGATACTGGGCGATCAATCAATCACACAGCCCCCTGGTGCTGAAGCCAGGACTTAAACACAGAAATGTTAATGTTTAAACCCTGGGTTGGAAGCACCCCACTGTCTATCCAGATAGTAGAATGAGCAGGTGGGGCAGCCTGAGGAAGACCAGACATTAGTCAGCCATTGCCACGAGATAAAGAAATAAAAGGATCAAGATGACATCAGACTCTGATCCTACAGTATGTGGGAAATATGAGGGTCTATTTAGCAAAGGTAAGAAAACAAAGTTTTGGAGGTTAAATATATTCTGCATCTTTATTGTTGAATCTGTAGACTAGTAGAGAGAGGGTTAGGCCATGAAGTTGCAATGAAGGAAGAGAGAACACCGTTGGATATGAGAATGTGTTTATGTCTACCTTGGGATGATACCTGAAGCTACAGAAAAAAGAAGGTTGCCAGGGGTGAGGACATGGACGTTAAGGAGCATTTGTCAGTGAATACCTAAGGAAAAAATACCTTGAAAAGCCAGGACAAGCAGATAGTGGATACAGATGACCTAAATGCCCCTCCCACCCAACCCAGCCACAAGGGGCCCCAAGAGATCGAGACAAGGAAGCAGTACTGTATGTCTACTTAGACTGGTGTAACTAGAGACAGAATGAGCCTAGCCCAAAGTCATGAAAGTGAGGGAGAAATCATGCACACTCTTTTGGAATTTCAGTCCAAAAAAAACTCTCAATGTCTATGAAGATGACTCAGCCCAAAATGCACTTTGATAAAATGACAGCTTTATCCCAAGACAGCTATCAGACACAGCACTGTCTTTTAATGAAACCATGTGCCTGAGTTCTCTATCTTGAATATCAGATATTCTATCTTTAATGAAATGGTGTGCCCAGGTTCTCTATTTGCTTCCCCCTGTCATCTCCTACTGAACGTATGACATAACTTCTCATTAGTAAGCCTTCCCTGGCCATGGTTTTCAATGCTCTGAACAGCATGTGACATACTAGGCATTACCTGGGAGCAGCATGTGAGACAGGGGACATTACCTGGGCGTTTCAGAATGATGTAGGCTGCGGACACTCCAGCATGGCACGTGAAAGGACGGCCATAGTCTTCCATTTTTACTTCTAAGAATGTTATGTTCACTGTGTACAGAATGTGATTCCTCAAAGAAACATTGGTTCTGGGGAAGAAAGAGTCAGCCATTAACACATGAGCTTATCTCCTACAAATAATATGTTTGTTTTCATTTGTTTGTTTGTTTCCCTAGAGAACTCTCTTGGCCATTATTTTACTCTAAGAATACATTTGAGAGTGATTCAATGTATAGAGGTTCTGTAGGTGTAAATTTGCATTTCTCCTGGACAGTCATGAGAAAGTATGGTTCTGCTAACTGCGGCCCCGTGTGTAGCTCTAACGGGCATCTTCTGTTCCCCGGATTATATCCCAATGTATCCACCCAGCAAGCTCACCCTGAGCACTACTCCTGATTTCATTTGTCACATATAGTCTCAGCACCATAAGTTGTGCTTGAGTACCATTGACTGTGCACAATCTCCCACAAGAAAACCTGCAGTGATCTTCACATTGCTAACTCCACACTAAAGGCCAGCAGCTCACAACTTCATTGGATGGGACAGGCCGGATTTGAGCGGCAGCTAACATGCACATACTGTTTCTCTAAGCTACAGTTCCTGTTGCACTGACATTGATTCATCAGAAAACATAAACATCTTGCATTTGCCCTAACCAGATCCCTGGCTACTCATCATTAAAAGACAAGAGCAGAATTGCAAACTTGAACGGAACTGTCCATCAAAAGCAGTGGTACCGGCATATTCATATGGGTGGATTAACTATTATACCTACTCGATTCCTTCCTGGATGCGTTTGGAGTCCTTGTAGTAGTCATCCACCAGGGTGTTGTTGACTCTCCAGCACCTCAGATTTGTATTCTCCTTCATGTCTGTTATATTGCAGTCCACGATGAAGGTGGAGCCTGGAGCAATCAAGTTTACAAACACTGACTAGAAATGCTACAGATTTCTCAAGTTGTCAGACTTGTCAACATCTAGTGAACAAATACACCTTGCTTTTGAGCCTGCCATATCTTAATTGCCAGGAGCATCCCCCAGGTTGATAGCAATGTGGCTAATTCTTCTTCTGCATAAAAGCCAGGAGGAGCAAGGAGAAACTTTTGTGCTGAGAAGGGACCTGCACACACTGCCCAACAGCCACACCTCTGAGGAGGGTCTCCCACAGCAGGAAATGTAAAGAGTACTTCATCAACACCCAAGGACAGCAGTGAAGTACCTCACAGTCTACTGAGCGCTTCCTGCTCATTTCTCCCTAGGTCTGTGGTGCATATCTTTGAAATAATTGAGCAAAGCAGAAGACTGAAAGGTAGATCTTCTGTGTTAGATGAGAAACTCAGGTTCAGACTGGCAGAGTGACTTCTACTTGGTGACACATGCTTTGGAGGGAGTCATGGGACATAAGCTCTGCTTTCTTACTCTCAAATCCAGTGATACTCTCACATTAACAGATGGGACTACTGCCTCCATTTTTCTCTATCCCTTACCCTATGTCCACGCACATATATATTATATGATATATAATAAAGCTATATCATTCAATCTAATGAGGCCCACTTCATATTTCAAGAGGAGTTCTTTTTTTCTATGTGGTATTTTACAATTTATTCTAATGTATAACATGTTTAATTAAAACTATGGAATATAGCTAAATATCTGTGGGTTATAATAAAGTATCCATATTACTTCCTCCATAAAGAAAACAGTATATTTTGAGGATTCTGGAGTTTCCCACACTCCCTTTCCTTCTTTTATTTTGCACCGATTGCATATTTATCTCCAGATTCTGGCTTCTGTTATTTAACAGTTACCTTTGGAGCCCGTCTTTGCTGTTTCATATACTACAGCTCTTTATTTCTTCTAAAATTGAGGCCTAGTCATTATGTTGTGTGTATGTCTCACATTTGATATTTGATTGAGAGTCTTCTTGGAATTTTCTTGTGTATGTTTCCTGAGGCCCACATGAACACTATACATTTATGTATATATATATATATATATATATATATATATATATATATATATATATAGTGTGTGTGTGTGGTGTGTGTGTGTGTGTGTGTGTATACATGCTTATGATCCATATACATGATAGGTACATATAACTTCTCCAGCATTGTGTTGGCTACATACAATAGTTAACTTCCCCAGATGGTGATGGACGGTCTCCTCAAGGGCTGTGTCAGCCTGTACTCCCACTAGCACTGTGTAATGTTGCTTTATATACTCAATAGTAGTAATGCCCAGACCATTCTATTATAGATGTTCAAGCCCTTAATTTAATTTATATTTCTCTACACTGCATATGAGCAAACAGCCACCATATATTTTATTGGCCATATGTTTGAACATGGCTCATTTTTCCTCCTCTATTATGTTCTGTTTTCCTTATAAATATAGAGATGTTTTGACCAATTATTATAAGCATTTTATTCTGATCCAAAGTTTTTTATACTTTTAGTATTGTCTTTCGATAATCAGAAATTTATTTTTAACGTCATCTTACTTAAATGTGTTTCATTTACAACTAGGGTTTTATAGGTCCCAATTTTTAAAATATTCTTTATTACTTCAAAGTCATGAAGTTGTTTTCCTAGAGATGAATTGTTCTGAATCCCATATTCAGGTCTACAATCTGACCAGAATTATTTTTATATTGTATGATGGACAGGTCAAGTTTCATTTTATTCTGTATCACATCTATAGGCAAGTACTATTTATGTAAACAATTTCAATTTCCCAGTCTAGTATAGTAGCACACATCTATAATCATAACACTCAGGGAGATGGAGGCAAGATCAGGAGTTCAAGGCCAACCTGGGCTACGTGTAACTTTCTCCTTCCTTTTCAAGATTATAATTTATCTACTTCTCTGTAGTCTTTATCGAAATTCAAAAGGCTGGTGTGTGTGAATCTACCTCTGATCTTTCTCTTCAATTATTATATAGACTGTATAAATTTTTCAGCCTCCTAATACATCTTGAAATCATTAGTCTTCCAATCTAGTTCTTAATCATTTAAAAATCATTGATTCTTATAAAGCCAAAAAACTCTTAGAATGCTATGGAAGAGAACACAGTAATTTGATTTTTTTTTTAAATCCACTGAGAGATCTAGAAAAAGGTCAATACTTGAACACTGTTCCTCTGTGGGTACAACTTTTATTAAGTATTTACATATTTAAAAATGAAGTTTCATTTTTACACCTCTACTGGCCCATAATAAAACTTTTGCCTTAATATTTGTCTTGATATCAATATTCCTGGATATATATATATATATATATATATATATATATATTGGTTATACCAATATTCTTGGAAAAAGTGTTCTTGGTGCCTTGGAGATGGGTGATGAAGAGGAGTGCCCAACAGGACAAACATTTGCCAACATGTAATCCTCTATAGTACCTGTGTCCCCAAGGAAACAGCCTAACAGGGTCATTTACAAAACATGTTAATATCAAGATATTATACTAGGAATTCAAATGTATAAAACTGGCATTTCACCAGAATAATCTTATAAAAAATACTAGTTATTGTGGCATTTTAGATAATTTTCTTAGAATAGTTACATAGATAAAAAGATCCTTCAACATGATTATGTTTATCCTCTTTCTTAAAAACTCCACTATTCCTGCCTCTCTCATGTGCATTTGTGTGTATGTGTACATACGTTTGGGTATAGGCATGTTTCAGTAAGTTGTGTGTGTGTGTGTGTGTGTCTGTGTGTGTGTGTGTATTGCATGTGAAGGCCAGATATGAACCTCTGGTGTCATGTCTCAGAAACAACACATTTTTTTGTTTGTTTGGTTGGTTAGCTTTTGTTTTTTGTTTTTTGTTTTTTGTTTTTTTGTTTGTTTTTATTTTTGTTTTTTTGTCAAAGTTTCTCATTAGTCTGGAACTTATTGGGTAATAAGCTAGGCTGGTCGACCAGTAAGCCCCAGGGATGTACATGTTTGTGCCTTTCCTACAGGCATGTGCCATCACACCCTGCTTTTTTACATGGCTTCTAGAAATCAAACTCTGAACTGCATGATGACTGTATTTTGCCTGAGGAGCTATCTCTCTAACCCAGTGGTTCCCAACCTTCCCAACGCAAAGACCCATCATTAATAGAGTACCTCACGTTGCAGTGAACCCCAACCATAAGCTTACTTTTTATTTTTATTGCTACTTCATAATTTTGACTTTTCCTATTCTTATGAACCATAATGTAAATATCTGATATGTGACCCCAATGGAGTCACAACCCACAGGTTACGAACCACTGCCATAGCCCCTGCAAGTTTTTTAATTGTCTAAACATATTGGCTATAAATTTCAAAAAACAAACATGGGAAACAAAGTTGATTAAATTATTAATAGCTAGTATTTGTAGGTGTCTGTGAAGTCTCTGGGTGTCCATATGGCAAGGAATCAATACACCCGTGTGTTGTTAGGGACTTCAGAGCTAGTCTAAAACAATCCAACCTAGGCCTTTCAAGAAAATTTGTGCCTCCTTAACACTGTCTGTTTTGAAGACATTCATGTTTCTAAGTCTGTTATTTGGTGGTTGGATTCTTGGAGGTTGACATCCTTCCCACCATAGCCACAAGCTTTCCTCCTGAACCAGCTCTGAGACCTTGTTCTTACAACTACTATTAGCAGGAGCAGTAAATACATTGTTTCTGCTTTCATCTTTGTTACTTAGGTGCTGTTTAGAAAGAGAAGGCCTTGTTCTTCTTACTACCACTATTAGCAGAAGCAACAAATACATTGTTTCCATTTTCATCCTTGTTACTTATTTGCTGTTCAGAAATAGATGGAAGGGTTTTGATTATTTCTGCACTTAATTATAATGGTATTTAAAAACTCAAAGGTCTTTTGGGGGCAGCACTGGTCACATGCCACGACATTTGGTTGACATTGTCTTGCTGTCAGTATTTTGTGAAAAGACTCTATGACTTAACTTCTAACCAACGAAGCTAATAATTAAAAAAATGTGGTTGTTTAGTTTTTCTTTCTTTTAAATTTTTAAAATTCTAATTAAAATAAATAGGAATGGTATATTTTTAAACAGTACATTATGATGCTTCTATGTGTTTATGTGTTTATACCATGGAGTAACTAAATCATGCTGTACTGGCTGGTTTGGGGTCAACGTCAAACAAGCTACAGTTATCTCAAAGGACAGAACCTTAATTGAGAAACTGCCTTTATGACATCCAGCTATAAGGCATTTTCTTAATTAGGGATTGATGGGGAGGGCCCAGCCTATGGTTGGTGGTGCCACCCTAGGGCTGGTGATCTTGGGTTCTATAAGAAAGCAGGCTGAGCAGGCCATGAAAAGCAAGGCAGTCAACAGCACCTCTCCATGGCCTCTGCATCCGCTCTTGACTCCAGGTTCCTGCCCTGTTTGAGTTTCTATGCTGACTTCTATTGATAATGAGCAGTAATATAGAAGTGTAAGCCAAATAAACCCCTCCCTCCCCAACTTGCTTTTCAGTTACGGTGTTTCATCACAGTTATTAGGCAAAGCTAAGTAACAAATGGACTATTTCATGTATCTAATGAGTGAGTTTTTTATTGTTTTGAATTTAGTTATAGGTAACCAGACGCTACAGTGTGACTGGAGTCTGTACAATGTCCCTTCCTCAGGTGGCATCTCCAGTCTTTTGGGTTTTCACTTGCCTACTAAATTTGTCAAAGCTTCAGCATATCAAGGTTTCCTATTACATGGAAACAATTGTTCTGTCATGTTGTGTTGTGGATAGCCCCAGCCTTGTATTTTGATACTAATTCCCCTTTCCTGTGAAGGGTTGCAAAGGAGGTGTGAGTCATTACACAGGTGAATTCTAGTGAACCTTCTGCCCATCTTAATTTGTAAAATAAAGGCTGGAGCCAGTGATTGGGCAGAAGAAGGGGAGGTGGAGAAATAAAGGTTGTTGGAAGAGAGCAGAGGGAAGGACTGGAGGAAGACAATGGAGGAGGAAGATGACAAAGGAGAGGACAACTGGGAAGCAGGAGTTAGAAGGACAGTCACAGGGTCTGGAAAATCCTCAAGTATAAGGGTCTCACAGCTGGGGAACAGAGTAGTATAGGGGTATCCACCCAATCTAGGCTTACAGAATATATTCATAATTACTGAGTTGTGTTTTCATTGACCGATCATATTTGGGTTGGAGATTTAAATATCACCCACTACAATGTTGTATTATCATGTATTTCTAAGACCTATATGTATTTGATACATGATGGTGTAAAAATGCTATTTTTCTAGGACTGGTAGAGCAATGACTTGGGAAGCTAAGGCAGGAAAATGAGAAATTTAAGGCCTGCCTGGAATAAGAAATGAGTTCAATTTAGTCTCAAAACGAAGAAGTAAAAAGTCTCAGGATAAAAACCAGTGGTAGATTGCTTGTCCAGTGTGTGTGAGGCCATCGATTCAATCACCAGTATCAACGACAACACCAAAGTGTTTTGAAAAGCATTGGCAGTTTTAGTTAGAATAAAGTGACTCAATTTGTTATTTATTCTTTTGGGTCTTCAAAGGTTATTATTAGGTTGAAACACCCAGACTGATTTGTTTGATAATTTTTACAACTCATACCTTCCTAGTGTTGTTCTTTTTAAACTTTTGGATCATGCACTTTTACATGTCTCTTTTGAAAAAGCAATCTATTGATAAAATCTTAACTGAATTATAATATTGACTGAATCTGAGGAGTTTCCTTTTAATAGAGACTTGATTTAATTGCCCTTTTTCCAGAAAATGCTCTCACTATGTTTATTTATTGGAGCTATCTCTACATCAAAAACTTGTGAGTCTCTCTTCTGAAGCATTGAGTTTTTGATCTTTAACTGTGTAAATGAAGGCTGTAATATAGTTATTTTCCTTACTCCTTGGATGTGTTTTCCAGTATGAGATAATGCAATCCAGAATTCCTGATCTAGATGATTTTGTAGCTGGAGTTAACCACTTCAGTAATCATGTCTGTTTTCATTGCCTTTGTACTCCCAGAAGTCAGTGAGACTCTCCTGGTGAGCTCAGGCACACCTAGAGTTGGAAATTAGACGTGTAGAGAGGTTGTCTCCACCTTGATCCTTTAATGCATCCATTGGGATAAGTAGGTGCAGCGAGCTTTACCCATGGTAACCGGACGGCTTCAGCAGTTTGACTTACCAAGTTGAACTTCAACGGAGTTGTTTTTTGGGTAGGTGATGTTAGGAATCATGGCTCCAGACCCAACTTCCCCTGACAAGAGATCACACCCACAAGAACTGCATTAAAACCACAAAAATCAGACACTCCCAAAAAACCTAATGTAATGGCGTGAAGAGAAGATCTTCAAAAACTTTGGTCAAGAAAAGTCAAAAGTGTGACATCAGGATGACCAACATATCACTGCTCTCTGCAAAGCTCTGAGTAGAGCCAGGTAGCCAATGATCACCACCTCCTAGATCACACACGTCAAACCAGGATATCATTCCACTCGACAACTCTGTCATCATCCTACTGAACTTCACCACCCAGCCTAACACACTTAGCCTTCTAACACCTCACAGTCTGCCCCTCTGCCTTCACTTCTGAACCATCTTTTTTCTGTTCTCTACTCCTTTAGAACATCTTATCTGCTCATACCTTGAATTACCTTCTAAAAGACAGTCTTAACTCCAGAACTCACTCTGAGTTCCAGACCACGTGAGATTGTAGACTATTCTACTTCTTTTGCAAGCCTCATCCTCAACGTGCTGAAGACCAAATCTCTCCAACACCTATCTTCCCTTGAGCTGTCTTGTTTCATTGACTGATGTCACTTCCCACCCAGCAGACGAAAGCCCAAAGGCCTAGAACCCATGATCCCTTCTTCCCTTCTACTGAAGTAACTGTAAAAGGCATCTGCTTTCCCTCAGGAGATGCTTTGACAGTATCTGCATCTCCCACCATCCATGTGCCTGCATGATGTCTCTCACCTGTCACTCTGAACCTTCCCCCTAACTATCGTCCTGATGTTCCCTCTGGGGGACAGCCAGCTGCTCCAGACATTAAAAGCACACCAAGCTGCTCTCATGCCATTAAACCCACTGGCTTCTTGCTAGTGTTCTGAGAGTAAAAGCCACACAGCCCAGTTTGGATTTCAAACTCCGCCCATCCCTCACTCCTGGCTGAGTCTCTAACCTCATTACCTGCCATGATCTCACCAACCCAGTCCAACCTGTCTGTCTTCCATCCCTCAGACACAACATGGTTCCTCTTGTTCTGAGGCCTCCACAGCTTCCTGTCTTCTGTCTGTAAACACCTTAACCATTCTATCAATTGATGTACTATCCCTTGGGCTATCTGCCCCCATAGTGGCTTCCTGCTGCCCAAGGGTGTAACTCCATTAAAGAAAAAAAAAAGCTATCTTGTGGCTGGAGAGATAGTAAAATGGTAAAGTTAATCCACTTACTGATCGACCCTGGGTTCAGTCCCCAGCACCCACAAGGTGGCTCACAACCCTTCTGGGGTATCTGATACCCTCTTCTGGCTTCCTTGGTCACAAGGCATGCAAGTGATACACAGGCATATATGCAGGCAAACACTGACACATATAAAATAAAAATCAATCTGAAAGAAAAGGAAAGTTGTATTTCCTTAGGCACAGAAACAAACATGACGGCCCACACAGAAGAACCATCAAATAAGACAGATGAACTCTTCATTCATTGTGTAGGAAAGAAGGAAAAATATTTGCCTGGGCACCAAAGGCCACAGTTCTGGCCCTGATTATGTTTCTAATGAGCTCTGTGATTATTGAGAAGCTGCTCCTTCCCGACAGTACAAGCATCTTGCTCGAGCTAAGTATTTGAGGCTTTTTGGCCTCCTCTAAGACATTGCCTTACAGTGTGCAGATTATCATGCTGCGTTCAAAGACAGTGGGTGCTGGTGACAGGGCAGTGACATGGCTGCTCTCACAAGGACTGGCCTGACACAGTACAAACAGTAGGTTATCTAAGAACCCTCTCCGGAGACTCTGAACTCCAAAGATTCTGAAGCTGCAGCAGGACCGACCCTGGAAAGACCCAGCACAACATTCGACCAGCAGAGATGATGGGAAGTGAAGGTAGTGTTAGCACTATCTACCTTCTCTTGGATGCTGACACTTTGCTAGGCACCCAGGAATTTCCCCTTTTACATGATCTCTTTCACTGTTTTCCTGCTAAGAGTTTTGAATATTCTGTTTTTAAAGGAGAGAGAAGTAAGCTGTTTATGCCCATTGACCTCACTCTCTGTCCCCTGATCTATCAGCAACATGGCTGGGGGCCCTGCTACCCTTCCACACAATCAAGATCCAATTTCCAAAGCCTGAAACAGGGAGCCACCTGGCTCCCATAGAGCTGAGAACCAAGCAACCATATTTGAAACAACTCACTGGTGTTCACAGCAATGTAGTTTCTAACCGTGAAGTGTCTCCCCAAGTGTGTCAGTCTGGCTGAGCACGCATAGCTCCCACCGTCCTCTGCAGCAATGTTGTTCACAAGAAGCTTTGTTCTTAAAAGGCTGTACTTCTTCCCTGCTTTAATCTCTTCACAACCCTAAAGGCACACACACAAGAAGGAAATGAGGGCTGGCGAATTCTAGTCGCTCTGTTAGCATTGCCCTATGAACTGTGGGAAACATGTCTATATCACCGTTTCTCAACCTGTGGGTAGCAGCCCCTTTGTGGTCACATATCAGATATTTACATTACCTGTGATGTATAACAGTAGCAAAATTATAGTGATAGAGGAGCAGCAAAATAATTTTGTGGTTGGGGGTCATCGCCACATGAGGAACTGTCTTAAAGGGTCATAGCCTGAGGAAGATTGAGAACCACTGCCCAATACCTACATAGTTCCTTACGAACTAAATCTTAGATATTAACCATCTAACCAGGAGACAAAGTATAATATAGATAAATAGACAGACAAACAGAGATGATAGACAGGATGACAGATAGACAGAGATAGGTGATAGACAGACAGATAGATATACATGATAGGTAGATGGATGGATAGATAGATAGGTATACATGATAGATAGATAGATAGATAGATAGATAGATAGATAGATAGATAGAT